AAATACAAAGAAATATCTAGGCATGTGAACACGTAGTCATTTAATTTTAATTACACACTATAAGTGTCTTCTCTAGGTTTGTCATTGTGTTCAGCACTGACAACAGAGAAAAAATCAATTCACACAGAGCCCTTCTTTCCATAGCTCCTACGTTCTGATGATGGAGACTGATAATTACACTTTAACTTCCCAAAATTTGCAGTGACAACATGACAAGTTGAAGAATGACAACTATGATGTTATAAACATTCTTCATTATTATATATGTATACATTAATGTTTTTCTTTAGCTTTCCTAGTTCATTTCCTTGCTACTATAAAATAGTTAATATTAGCCAAACTTTATTTCACTCTTTAAGCCCCAGCCAGGAATGGCAGCACATGCCTGTAATCCCAGAACTCAGGAGGCTAAGATGAAAAGATCACTTTTAAGAGAGTCTGGGTTACATAATGAGACTCTGCCCCCCAAACAATATCAGAAACAACAAAAGCATTTTAAGCTATAGGATATCCAGGGGAAAAAAATATGAGTGGGATAGAAAAAAGAGCACCACTGAAAGATGGCCAAAGGACCTTACATTTTATTCTGATAAGATAGTATACATTTGCTTTCAGGACACAGACAACGTCACTGTATTCATCTGGAAATTAAAATTTTGCATGAAAGTACAGTTGGCAAGTTAAGCACTGAGGCAGCTTCCTACAGGGCAGCTTAGGTAGATGCAAGCTAGATCTGCGTAATTCTGTTTCCTTTATGTTTCTTGGCTGTCGTGGGCCAGTGGGGCTACTACTTAGGGGTTCAGTGTCAACCGTGAAGCAGTTGTTGACCTGTCAAGGTCACTGTAGCTGCCAGCCACGACTGCAGCTCACATGTGTTCTCACTGATCTGCTGGGTCACTTTGTAGGCATACAGAGGTAGACACATCTCGTAACTCTGGCTTGATCCTCACAGTCCTTATCCTTTAGCTTCTGGTAAATGTGGTCCCAGGTGAGAGTAGCTGTTTCTATCTCAGAGCACACGTCAGCAAGATGGGAGAAGCTACGGCTTCAACATTTGTTCCAGTTTTTCCTTATGGATTGCCCATTTCAGTATGTTCTTTTTCTATTTCTTATACTTTGTATCTAACTTTTGACCAACTACCAATCCTGCAAACCTACAGTAACTGCCACCCTACTACCAAGTACAGTGGCAAGAACCTTGATGGAACGCATCACCAGCTCCTGCAACTATGTATGGTTTGATCCTAACATTGTTTTCTATTCTACACTGGCTGTGGTTCTCAGGTTGAATCCTAACTGACGCAATATATTGCCAAAATGAGAAGCAATATGAAAAAATAAAAAAGAGATAACATTACACTAGGAAAAGAATGAATTCAACAACCATGGAATGTTATGAATCACTATTCAAGGATGATACCTGTGGGAATCAAAAAGTAACAATTTATGCTAGATTAGATAGATGAAGATCAGTAGAAAGGTCTTCAGGCAAAAGAGCACTGTAGAACAGATCATGTTGCTAAGAGAGGAAGGAAAATGAAATATAAAGACAGTCTGAATGAAAGAAGAAATAAAAAATAAATTAGAAAATCCAACTAGAAAAAAAATCTAAGCAATCAAGGTCTACATATCAAATTAATTGTCCAAATTAGAATAAGAAGTCATTGACCTTCTAGAGGAAAATCATAGCGAAATTTGGGCGTAAATGCAATGAACAAAATGATAGATTGCATTAGGGCCATGACAAAGAACACATATGCTTATTTTTCTAACAGAAATAATAAGTAAAAGCATTTTAACTCTAGTACCAGAGGTCATTAGTTTGAGAATTTGGAGCAAGGTGAGAAAAAAAAAAAAAAAGAAGGGGGTTGGACATTCTTTTGTCAATGTCAGTGAGGTTGTCTCTGTGTCCCAGCGAGAAAGCAGGTACCATTCTCTCCGACCCTTGACACTGTTGTGGAAGATAGTTGCATAGACATATCAGCTTAATTCCAATTTAGTCTTTCAACTTTAAGAGTCAAATTTTATAAGGCCCAGAAGACTAAGTTATCAAAACAAATTATAACATTTATGGTGTTAATATTGGGGAAAGTAACAGATTCATAGAAAAATAGAGAATGAGTACTGTTTTGATACACTTCTGCTGTTATTAGATTTTGAGAAAAAAGTGTTCAATGAAATATACAGCAATGTTTTGATGAGTAAAATATAGACTGGAATTAGGGAAATTATCACATTCCATATACTGCAATAAAAATGTAGCATGTAGTACTGACTCTGTAATCATTAAATAACTGGATTTATGTGAAGCTGAATTGGAAAAATCTTACAAAATGAATGGTTGTGGAAGCCCCAGCCCATACTACGGCTCTACCTGAAGATGGATCTGTAGAGAAGTAAATAAGGTTAAGTAGTTCATGAGTGTTTGGCCCTTACATAACTTGTAATAAGAGATGCAGCAAGCAAGTTCTTTCTCCTGTTACTCATGCACGAAAGATCATGCTAGGACATAGCAAAAAGGTTCCCACAGGCCAGAAAGAAATTCTCACCAACATTGAATCTGGCTGAACCATTTGATTGATATGTACATACATGCATCTAATTTTACAGACCAGTAAATCTAAACCTTTAAGAATAAGTTCAGATCTTTCCTTATCCCCGTAAATACTTTTACACACACTGCCTAAGAACAAGGACATTTTTACAAATAATCATCTTCATGACACTGTTTGTATTTTCTTTTTTCTTTCTTCCACTTTCCCATAACTTTTTCTAGATTGTAATTGGTTACTTTTGTTCATATCCGCAAGTACATATCAATGTTTTTACATTATCTATTATGTCCACCCTTTTGATTTGACCAACTCTGTTCTGTTATGTCACATTTGGTTTTACTCTCTTCCAAAAAAGTAGTAAGAATCGTGGGAGCAATAAAACCCAAAATGTGTAATAGTCATTGTACAAAAGAGAGGAAAAGAAAGTGCTCTAAATGATATAACTGCATGTATATGTAAGTGTATAAGATAGAAAATGATATCACTAGGTTTTATTGGATCATTGAACAGAACTGTTTGCAGTATCATTGTTGGAATGTCCACTTTACAAGCTTTAATTTTGTGACTTGAACAATTATTTCTAAGATGACAATATGTAATCCATTAACTAGTGATTTCCTACTGTTTATTTTTTTCTGTAAATCTGTATAACTTGTACCCTTTCTCTGTTTTTTTTTTCTCCTTAAATAAAATTTAAAAAAAAATACTCTGAATGTGGGAAGCTAGTTGGATAGGAAATGTCTAGAAAAAGTCATAGAATCCAATTTCCATAGTGGCATTATGAAACTGAATTTGATGGACAACACAGCAGCAATGAGCAGGCATGGTTTTCCATTTTGATTTGCATGAAAGCTGTGTATACTGTTTACTTTGAGAAGAAAACATAGCTTCGTGCATTGTTATATCACAAACAAGTAACTCGATTCAATTTTGTTTTTCTTATTCAGTCTTCTAGCTTATCATGAAAGATATCCAAAAACTGATCTTCCCGGAAAAACAAGACTAAAATCAAGCACAAGATTGTTTTGGCAAAACATATTGAACTGATAAAAGACTAATTAATATATTTTGAGTTCAGGCCTCAGGACTTCTTCAAATGTTTTCATTTTTCTTCATAATTTGAAACGCTCTTCTCTTGTATTTGGAAATACATGCTTGTTTTGGAGGAAAACTCTGGCAATATGTCAAGAATTAAGCTATATCTAAATGATTTAAATAGTGCTTCCCAAGAAGCATTAGTAACTGCTTTTCTTTCTCTTAGAATTCTAAAATCTGGTTAACATAATTCATAGAGACATCAAGTCTTAAACAGATATGTTACAGTTTTGAACTGGATTAGATTTGAAAAGTACCTTTCTGCCCGTTACTTGAGAGTTTTGGTAATATAAATCAAAACACAGCACCTATAAAATACATGTCTGGTTCTTTTATCTCTAAAGGTCTGTGCTTTGTTATGCTGTTTAGTGTTTTGCACAACAGCCTACTCATATTAACTCATGGATACAGTGAGGAGCTGAGAATTTTTGAGCTGCACATAAGCCTGTGAAGGAGACTTCAAAGACTTAGGAGTTCAGGAACTGATGAGTAAACACTATAAAAAACAAATAAATGAGCTCCATTTTTCTTTCCAAAATTCATTTTGATAGCAGAATAAGTAAAATTATTTCAGATTAATTATTAATCTGAATGATGTTAGAGAATCTGTTGAAATTAATGTGTAAGGGGCTGGGTATTTAGCTCAGTGGCTTAAGCACCTGCCTGCCAAAAGCAAGGTCATGAGTTCGACCCCAGTACCAAAAAAAAAAAAAAAAAAAAAAAAAAAAAAAATTAATGTGTAGACATGACGTGCTTACTTCGTACCTAAAGAGTTAACAGTAATGTTGGTGCCATGTTGGTCCATGCTATCTCCCATTACCCAACCCATTTTCCGTCAGAAATTCTACCACAGGAGATTTGTTCCTTTGTATAAAAATAACCTACCTAAGGGAGACCATGATTTCTATACCACCAATACTAATAACAATAGAGAAGGATCATAAAAGTTATATTTAAAACAGCAGTTCAATATGGGAAGAAGAGAGAAAAATCAAAATGCTGAAGTTGAATTTCTAATTGTAGAGGCCAAAACTTTGGAGGCACCATAAAGTTATTATTGTAAAGCTACCAAAACAGAAAGGAGATTAAATAATGCAGAGGACATGGTAAGTTCTCAACTAAAATTTGATTTCTTTCCTCTTCACATATTTCTTTTCAATCCTTCATGCTAAAGTGGAAAAACAGGGCATTAGTATATATTAATATCAGTTAATATAATGTTAACAAGTAAATAAAACATAAACCACCTGTCACTTCTATTTGCTACATGACAACTTCCACATTGAAGTAATATATACATTGTCTTAGTTACTTTTTTCATTGCTGAAACAAAGTACCCAACACCCAAAGTTTAAGGGAGAAAGGTTTATTTAGCTCACAGTTTGTAGAAGTTTCAGTCCACAGTCATCTGGCTCCTACACAGAGTGGCTTGGCAGAAGAGAACAGAAGAGAACAGTTTGCTCAGAAACTAGCAAAGCAACAAGTGGGCAAGACAAGATTCTTCTTGCCACTTCCGTATCGCATCTGGACTTCTGGAATTAGAGCAGAACCGAACCATTCAGTGGGCTGACTTAGCAATCATGCACCCTTCATCCCAGCACCACACACTCTTGATTTAGTGTTTTCCAAAAAAGCCTAAGACTGCATGAGGCTTTGAGGGACATTTAGAACAAACCACAACACAGAAAACTCTTAAATCTTTCTGATATTCTGATTCTTTATTACAGATCTAAATATTCACTGATGAATCTAAATCTAAATTTTAAGGTATATTTTGCTTGTTATTTCAAGCATTATCCAGTAATTGAAAACTAAAACAAAACAAAACATTATTTCTATACTATGTGGCTGGAGAAGCAGGACTGGTGATGGGGAATTACCTTGACCTCAGAAGAGTTGATGGCATACATGAACGAATTTAATATCAAATAAGAGAACTCTGTTTCCTGGTCACTCAGTAAGGACCACAGAGATCCCTGAAATTCTCTTTCTCACATGGCCCACCAAGAGGTGGTATCCATTTTCCTAGTTCTAGCCTTGCTTTCTTTGGGATGGGGGTAGACTTCAGTGAGAGATAGGACACAGAGGAGTTGACAGTGGTCTTCTGTCAGTGCAAGGGTGAGCAACAGAGACTCCAAACTCAGTGGCCAGGCTGCAGAGTGGAGGAGGGCACACATGGCATCTTTCTGTTAGCCCTGCTCTATGGAAAGCAGGTAAGCATATGGTGAGTTAAGAGGCTGGAAGCTGCTTTCATTCCTGCCTCTGCTTCATGAAAAACAGGAGGCCAAGGAAGTAGTTGTTGACCTGAGGGAAGAGTTGACTCCCAGCTGGATGTGATAGTAATTGAATGGATGAATGGGACTGATGCTAATATCACCTGAATCTGGTACCTGTCCAGAGCCCTGGGAATTGCTGTATCTTGTCCACCTAATGGGTTTTACTGGTACAAAAGAATTAAAGACACAGGGCATTTTTAAGTCTCGGAAATAGAGACTTCCCAACCGTCTCTAAGTTTACTGTAGACTTTCCACATATTTTACTAACCAGTTAGCTTTTCATAAGCACCTTATGAAACAAAAGAAGAACTATAACTGTTCAATCATAAGATTTTCTTTAGATTTCTATTAATCTTACTACACAGCTTCTAAAAATCTGCACTATAATATAAATATTTTAAATATTTCAACAGTGATGTTACCTCTTAAACAGTTTTATTGATCTAACACTTTCAGATAAATTCAAGAAAATGTTCTTGTGTCATATCTACTAAAACAATCTATATTTTTTCCAAGTTAAATAAATTTTTACTATATATAAAAGGTGTATGTCTTCATATCACATTATATTGCTGTCTTTTCCATGACAATAAGGAATCTTGACATATTTGTGTGATAAAAAATTAGTTTTTAAGTAACAAAAATATGGTGTCAGCATACATTTTAAACTTTGGATGAAATACTAAACTACAGTGGTACACTAAAATGCTACCTTTCCTCAATGTAAATATTGAAACCATTATTGGAACATGCTAAAAAGAAAAGTTCACTATTACATTATATGAGGGTTACCAAATGACCCTCTAGTAACTTATAAGAGATTTTTTAATTGAAGATAATCATTCAATTTTTAATTATTTTCTCTATGAAACAAAACTCTAGTAAAATGAGGTATCTTAACATAATTTTGTTTCATTACATGTGATATCACCCTAAAGTTTGTGGATATGTTTCGATAGTTGCCTTTAAAATATGCTGCTCTTTAGAACATTTCTAAAACTTGAAACAGCTTAAAAGTCAATGATTTTAAGAGTAATTCTGCCACCTTGTGTTCTCTTAAACCAGCCAACTTGAAAGTTGTAACTGAACCACAATTCTAAAATAATTAGCTGTGCTCTTCCCCTATTTTTTTTTTTCAAATTTGCATGAACCAATTATGGAATCCATTAACTTCATCTGTACCTGTGCCACAGTGAGGACTCAGTCTCCAAGATTTTTATCGAGATTCATAAAGCCAAATAATAGCTTGAATTGAAGCCATGTGTTCTTATTTTAGAAATTTGTATTATTTTATTTAATTCTAAATTATTTTCTTAATTTAAGGTATATTTGCATACCTGAACTGCTGAATTCCTGCTTCATACTCTGGTAATAAAGTCACCACTCTATTTTTAAGTAATAAGAACAATAAAAGAAAGCAAGTTTACATTCTTTAATATTGTAACTTTTAGGAGCTAGGATGAGGCAAGCAATGATTTTTAGTGGAAAGTTTTGAATTATACACAACTATCTCTGCACTTCTCTACTGAAGCACCATTTGTTTGTTTGTTTTTAAACAGAGACAACTAATAGAAGCAAAGCTTTGAACTTTTGCAAAGCTGCCATTTATGAAATTAAAAAGAAAAGGAAAAGACCTACCAATAACAATGAAATAATCATTAACTTAATTGGTCATTAACATAATTAACCTAACCTATTCTTAAAGTGGAAATTGCAAGGATTTCTCATTTATGTGTTTGTTTCCCCTACAAACTCATAATAGAGGATAAAATGCTACAAAAGCTGACCTAAAATTATGCTTTTTCCTTCTTTAATGTATGGAGTGCAGATGTTTATTGGGCTCCCTCTATGTATTCATGTTTGCAAATGACGGGCAAAGTTAGTCTTTATAGAACTAAGCCTGAAGCCTTAGCTTTGTTTTTAACCATAAAAGTTCAGGAAAGGTCTTCATCAGAAAGTCATACACAGTGATTGGGATGAAGAAAGAGACCATTACCTTTATCAGATGCTCAATAGATCCTATAGTGAAAAAGAATTCCAAAAAGAATAAAAATTAGTATCTCTAATTTGATTTGTAAACTGTAAACAGTGCACATATAATAAACGTTTAGATGGCATGCTACTGCCACCTGGTGTCCAGCGTGGTCAGCCTGCAGGCGTCTGTAGAGACCAGAGAACAAAATGTTGGCAACAGTGAAAGTCAGTCTGTGGGTCTCCTAAAGCATCACTGGAATTCAGTACATAAAAGCTTTAATAAATTATAGGGCTACTCATGAATAAAGATTTGTCCTCAGTTTTACTCTTAATTGAATCTTCCCAGGGTTTGTTTTTTCTTTTTAACTTGAGACAGAAATTAGAATTGGCAGGAATCCCATAAGAAAGGACTTCTAGAGAATAACATTTCCGCAACTGAAGACATGGAAATACCACTCTCATTGAGAAACTGCAAGAAACTTTCAAACATCAGCGCATTAAAATTTTCTGTGTTTGGACATTCATCCAACGTCAGCCAAACTTTAAAATTTCATTCAGTTTAGGCATTTTGATATGAAAAAAATTTTAGATTAAACTTACAAATGTTTTTTAAATCTTTTGTAACACTACATAAAATCAAAAGAATTGTGATTTTCTTCATCATTGTGATTTCCAGTTGTTTACAAAATTGTATATGCAGAGTGCATGATCACACATAAAATACACTTTAAAAGTGGCTTTGCTGCTTAAATATACCCCCAAATGCAAGAAATATAAGCTTAATTACAGATATCAGAAAGAAAAACACACAAAACATTCCAAAGCTAACCTGTCAATCCAGCATGATCTTTGGAATATTAGCAGCTTTCCAAATGCAGAACAGGAAGCTTGGAGAGAACTGGCAACCACTCTGGAGCAATAAGTATATTCTGCAGCTCCATGGAGAGATGAATTAGTAAGTCTCTTGTTCATTACTATGACTACAAACTTATTTCAGTGATAAAGGCAACAACAGATACTGTCCAGGTGTTTCTAGCCAGCCCATAATTTCTATTCGAAAGGGAATTTAAAGTAGCCCTTTGATTGAAAGGAGGTTTTGAGGGCTGGTCTCAAAGCTTATTTTGAATAGCATAGACCCTGATCTAATGGTTTCTGGGGAGGGCATCAGTCTACTTCTGCTGGATTGTAAGGTGCTCTTCTATAAGAAAAATGTCTGGTCTCTTAGCACAGACGTCATAGAATAACCATGAATAATTAACATTAATACGAGCACAGATAAAAACTCTTTCAGAAAAGAAATTTAAATTATACTTTTAGGTGGCTGCATTATGAGGTTCAGAAAGTGGCAGAGATGGGAGAGTTTGATTCAAAATCTCCAACTGAAAATCATTTTGTTTAGTCTTTACTCCTACAATTGCCTTCCTATACATAATTGGATTGTCCAGGGCATCTAAATGCACCTTTAGCAGATCCTCAGTTCAAATAAAATATGCAGGTTTTGTTTTGCTTTATTCTCTTAAAAATAAAAATTTAAAAATTTTAAAAATGCAGGTCTCCCAGCTGTTTCTGATCCAATCCGATTCTTCCATTTATAAATATCTCTGAAGTCAGTGCCCTGTACCTGTTTCTTGGAATCTCTTGCCACTGGGCAGTGCGGCTCTCAGAACTGGCAGGAACATTGTTGGGATACTGCATTGTTCTGGCTTTGCCCATCTGATATGCCTATCCCAGAGGAAGAGCTGCAGGAACTGATAGAAGGTCAGAGAGTGGTGTTTCCTTCCACTTCATGCTTCTTGACCAATTAAAACAATATACAGGGGCAGAAAAATCAGTCATCAAAAAGCAAAAGAGTTCAGGCCTAGAAACCTTTCATTTCGGATAGTGGAAACTTGATTTTACTGTATGTGGGCCCAGAATTTTCTTATAATTGACAAAAAAACAGAACTAAAAAGACCGTTAACAGCCCTGTGTTCAGCTTCCTACCAGTTTCATATGGCCTTTGCACACACCACATGGAGAGCACAGATATTCTCTTCAGGACGAGCTCCTGTTCCTTCACTGTCAGTGGCATCTGGACTCAACATCTCCACCTGTTCCTGTTGGGCAGCTGCATCCACCCTCTCCTCCCACTCACACTGGCTAGGCTTCAATTTGAAACCACTTTTGTGCCCACAGCAACCTCTACTATTGCACTGTTACCTATTTCCACTAACATGTTTCCCATGAACTTCCTGACATTGTTAGCACAGCATTGGCCCTGGAGGGTGAGGAGCCTTTCTCAAAATTACTGCTCATCTTGAATACCAAACTTGAAAAAAAGTAGATAAACTTCTAAAAATTTTTTCTGTGGAGCTCTCTCCCTTAGGAGCTTGACAAATTTATGACTAATACCAAATATTCTTTTTTAAAAAGTTATTAGTCCATATTTATGGTATAGAATGTTTACATTCCTAGTGGGAACTTGGTACACATACAGAACACATCTCGTTTGTTTTTTTTTTTCAGTCCCTTCATGTCTTCTTTCTCCTCCTTCCCTTCCATAGTCTCTTGATCCCATTCTTCTTTGGAAAGATTTACTTCCTACTTCCTATATCTTTGTTTTATTTTGTTCTTTATTTATAATTTGGGTTTCTCATACAAGAGAAATCCTGTGATATTTAAGCTTGTGTGTCTGATTTATTTCACTTACCATTATGCTCTCAAGATGCATCCATTGTCCTGCAAATGACTCAAGATCATTTTCCTTTATGGTGGAGCATTCCATTGTATGTAAAAACCACATTTTCTTTATCCATGCATCTGTTAATGGACAGATAGTCTGCTTCCAAGATTTAGCTCCCATGATTATGCTTTTTGGTTATGCATGTATCACTGTAATATGCTATGGTCAACTCCTTCAGAAAGATAAGTTCTAAAACTGTATATCCTTCCACTTCTCATGCTTCTATGCCAGGATTAAATCTCAGCAGCTCATTTACTTTCCAACACCAGATAGACTCTTTGCTTATCCAGAGCACATGGGAGAGGTGTTAAGTGACATTTGACTCTGCTTTGTATGGAAGTGTCTTACATCTTTGTTCCAGATATATACATATATATATCTCCAGTTTTGTCTGAGGCGTATATCAATGTTTCTCTTAGGTGCCTCAATTTTTCACAAAGTTCTAAGTGGGCTTTTATCCCTGTACTGAATCAGTAAACCAAGCTGCCTCCATGAAACATTTGTTCACTTCGAATATGTAACAATAAATGTAAATTAGTAAAATTGTACTTCTCATTGATTTTAAAATTGAAATAAGAAGTGATTTTTGTTCAAATATGTCTCATGTTCATTCCAAAGTAGTTTTTGAAAGCATATGGGTATTATATAACCACTATGTGGTTATAACAGCTTTTAGCATTACTTATTTACTAAAACCTGTATTTTATGACTTCAGATTATCCTCATCCTTTAAAACTGGCATGAATTTGGCTCTTTCCAAACAATCTGAATTATTTTGAACTCTGGTAGCATGAAAGGCCGACACCAAGTTCTTTCAAGAATCATAAAATCATTCTTTGTTCCTATAACTTCTTTTGAAAGTTTTGAAAGTTTTGCTCAACTTGTTCTTTTAGGAAAATTTAAATGAAAAATAGAGAAAATATTTCTACACTTTGTAGGAAAATACTTTAACATGGTCAAACAATTGAACTTTTCTTGTCATTTGCAAGAATGTTTTATAAAAGAGATTTATTATCAGTGTTAATTCATATGTGTATGTGTGTATTTTGGCAGTAAGAATGGAATGTTTTCATGCTTTAGAAATTTTTTGTAAGGAAGGACCATGAAGCAGTGTAGCTGATTTCTTTGAAATGAGAAAGCTAATGTCATCATGGCACTTTTCCTGATAACCTTAAGAAGCCTGGGTTTGTTTAAAAGAGAGAACCACATGTAGAGTTGAGGCTAAAAGAGATGCAGATGCTGAGGAATTAAGCACTATTCAAAAGAAACCAGGGAGTTTGCAAAGATATAAGGAGAAAGATGCCGGTAGGAATCTCCAAAATCAGCAAGCACCAACCCATCATCAGTTCAAGGGTCCAAAAATGTAATCCTATTTGAGAAGACAGTCCTTTGGATGGCTAATTAAGAAGGGCCTTCTAGGAAATTGGTTTCTTGGAATTCACTTTACTATGCTCAGTCATTCAGGCCCCAACAGGATGCCACAAACATGGCCCAAGGGGACCTAGATGCTGCTCAAATTGGCAGTTGATCTTGGCACCATCCAGGTGATGCTGGTTTTGCCAACATGCAGAATGGAAGAGTTTTAGAGTCAGGAAGGCTTCCTACCAGATTGTAAAGGAAAACCTGAAAGGCCAAAGAGCCACTGAGAAGTCATGGCAATGAAGGCAAAGGTGTAGCAGAGATCCCAGAAACTCAGAAATACCAGAAACATGAAACATCTACTGAAAAAAGCCATAATTTAAGAGTAAACCCAAATCAAGACACAAGAACTTCATCCAGCAAGGCCATAAGGGTGTGACTCCAAGCTGTCTAGTACTCACCCGTCAGCACCATGTCCAATATGACATTTCTTCCTTGAAGCCAGCTGAACATAATTTGAATCTCCTAAAACTATGAGCTAAATTAAACCCCTTCTCCTTTAAGTTGTGGCTGTCAGAAATTGTGTTTCAGTGACAAGAAAGCTGACTAATACAGTATAAGAAACTGCGGCATTTTCTTATGCATTGTTCCTCAAAGATATTCTAAATTCTAATTATGGGTTTAGTGGGACAATTTATAGCATACACAAAGAACTTTCAAGAAGTAAAGCAAAATATCATAACTTAGAATCATCTAATATACCAGATTTACTAATAATTTAGACATGTTTTCAAATTCTATTTGAGGAAAAGTCTTTCAATTACAATTTGATTCTGTACATAAAATTACAGTTGAACGATTATAGATCAGTACTCATCACTGTTTGTCAGACAATAGACAGAGCTGTCATTGGACTACCTTCTTAAGAATTCAAAGTGGCTCACTGTTGAGAAAAGTTTTGGATTGATTATCACTGAATGCTGAAAAGAGAAGGACCAGGAGAAGAGATCTAACATAACATAGACATTGGCATATGGCTTCTATTTACCCTTTGAGGCTCAGTAATAGATAATCTACAGCAATCCTATAACTTTCTCATGAAATATTCTACTATCTAGGAAGACAGAATGGTGCTAATTACAAGAAATCCAAGCCAACAGATGTGAAAGTAGGGGGATGGAAGTCCTTTCAAATGAGTTTTTTAGTGCTCAATGTTGTAAGAAGCTCATCTAAAAATAAAGTCACAAGAATTTTTCCCGTTGATAAAAAGTCCTATGTCAAAACTCATTCAGACATTCTCTTTCCTTCAATTATGATAGATTCTTATTCAAACATCAATGTTTGGTCAATAATCTTTGGAATAAAAAGATAATCAATTATAAGTAAAAAATGGATATTTAAGTTTTCTTTCTTTTTACCTATTATTCCCAGAAATGGCCAATTATTATTTGCTCGTCCCTTCTTGTGCATCTCTTTAAAATTTTTTGCAGTTATGCATTTGTAAGCCTCTGAGAATATTCACTTTATTTTTAAAATGCATAATAAAATGAAAGTTCAGCTTCAATTTATTTAAAATTTGGTAAACTCTGCAAATTCCCCACTAGTAATTATTTTCTTACAAAATAAAAGTTCAGAAATATTAATATAGTATAGACCAAGTTTCATTCATAATTTATTTTCATAAATGTATTTATACTTCTATAGTTTTTAAATTTCTATAATTTAGAGAAACAACTTTATGAATAAAAATTCAGATTACAAACTGCTTTTTTTTGGTCTGGGCTTTAAATCCCCTGTTTCATCTTATGACTTTATATAATAAGTTGATACATACAGAGTTCTTGAATGTTAGAATATAAAATGACTGTGTTGCATTAGTATCAACTATGGACTATCATCACAGACAATGGCCTTTCTCAAAACTAAATGGTAATAATGCCATTGAGTTAAAATTAT